ATATATATATATATATATATATATATATATATATATATATATATTATGCCCTTTTACTCATGTATAACCAAAAGAACTGAGCAGTTTTAGACTAAAATAGCTACAATACTTTGTAAGATTTATAAACTCGAGTTGTTTCTCTGTCCAGATCAAACTAAAATGGAATTTTTCAAAACCAGGAAAATAATGACTTTTAATGAAAATACATCAATGAATAAATTAACAATTCAAAAGTCTTAGTTCAGTATGTTTAATATGTTAAAGAACTATTGTTATTTTGTAATTAAGTGTGCCACCTTCGCTGCACTTGTCCTCACTGTAAAAACAAACAAACTACAAATGAATCCAAAGATGTTCAGAAGAGTTTCAGCTTGTCACATGAGGGCAACAGAGCCAATGTGTAACCCATTAAACTGTTCTCTACAAAAACGTGTTGACTCATCAATCTGGTCAGAATTTAACTTGATTTATATGAACTGAACTCATTTAAAGAGCTACCAAGAAAAAATTGTTTTTCACTGAACCCATTCAAAACATCTGAACTGTCTCTTTCAGATAAATCTCACTCATGTACTCTAGTAAACACAACCAAGACCAGCAGGAGTCAGATTAATAAACAATACTGAGTGCAGATTACTACTCTAGTCTGTCTGAGTGCAGATTACTACTCTAGTCTGTGGCTGAATCTGTCACAGGTGGATGCTTTGAAGGTGAATGATAGTACTCAGCAGCACACTGTTATATTTCCTGTCTAACTTTATATTAATTGATACACAACTCATGCATGTGTGATTTCATATAAAACATAACTCTCTTGAGCGCCTCAAAATGAATAATCATGCACTCCTCAGAAGATAAGCTCAGTTTATTGACTTCCTTAAGCCTACAGATTGAACAATAATCTGTGATTTTCCTGCCACCATCCTCATGAGAGAACTCTTCCATTTTTGAAAAATAAAAATAAAAAAATGAAAAGAAAGCTGCTCTTTGATCATGTCCCTCGCCTCATCTGACTGCTCTCAGACGTTCGCTCTCATTGAACTCTCTCTCCAGCTTCAGCAGCAGAGGGTCTTCTCTGCCTTGGCAACAGTGGCACATTATCCTGTACCTGCTGGGATGAGAGGAAATGCTTTGATTTGTCACCACTGTGACGCTGTGTGTGTGTCGCTCAGTCCGTTACGAGCAGTGTTTTTTTCTGCTGGAGGTTTAAAGAGCAGGCTGAAAGTTTGGATCCTCATCAGCACATGATTGATTAGCTCAGTGAGGTTGTCCATAAAGTGCTGGTCTCCTCACTTATAGCTGAGAGATGAAGCGAAATGAGAAGTCAAGCCAGTTCTTTCATCCTGTCTCTTTCAATGTATATTTTAAAAAGCAAACTATACCTTCTACCTTAATGTTGCTCACTGTGGTACTTGAATATACAACAAAAAACTATTTATACACTGACTGTGTGAAAGTGTGGCCAAGAAGAGCAGAAAGATGCAAAGAGGAATGCTGACCTGACACTTTCTCCTGTGTTGTCCCTCGGTCATCGTCCAGCATCAGGTCATTCAGCAAGTGCTCCAGGACCTTCTCGGGGGTTCCGGACACAACCGCATACCTGTCGGACACGACAGAATCAGAAGACGAGTCCTCCCCGATAGAGGACAGAGAGCGGCTGCTGCTCCACTCCTCCTCTCCCTCTGTTCCCTCATCATCTATGTAGCGAAAGTAGGGGACGTCGAAGGTGGGCACGGTCACCGGCTCTGCCCGGCTGGTGCTGTCACTGCTGCTCTCCTCCTCGTCCTCCTCCTGCTCCACCAGGGCAGCGTGCAGCAGCAGCCTGCCCTCCTCCTGCTGCAGGTTCAAGGACTGTGGACGAGATCCCATCCTCAAACAGTTCTTGCACCTTTACGCTGGCTTCTGCTGCTCCTGCATGACATCTTTACACTTTCATTCATGCACCTCCAACTCCTACAACCAGCATTTCACTGTTTATATCCTCAGAGCGCACTGATAGACCACGATGTGTCCTCAGCAACAAAAAAAATCCTCATCAGCAGCTATTTGCATGTAAAATCTCTGCCTCATAGCCTCATTCTGCCCACTTCTATGTATCACATGTAGTCATAGAGCTGCTATGTAAAGCATGCCTGAGTGAGAGTGTGATCGACAGAGGCAGAGAAGGAGGATGATGAGAGGAGTGCAGGGAGAGAGAGGGAGAGGATTAAGAAGGAGAGGCTTACCTCCTGTTCTTTGCCTCTTCCCTCCCTCCTCCCCTCGCTGATGCAGCGAGCCCGGGCTTCGCTGACGACACTCTCTGGAGCACGAGCACGTCGTGGCCCCTCTCTCTCAGACACAAGCGGACTGCTTCGTCACTCTGGGGCTGTAGAGGAAAAAGTGAGGAGGGGAGAGAAGCATGTCATCAAGGAGTTCCCTTGTATTTTTCCTTGATTTCCATCATAATACTCTGACAAAGATGAAACAGAATGTCATTATTTTGCCCTTATCATAGGAGCCCATTCGGGGATTAACATAAATGAGTCACATGCTTAAGTTGCTGATTTATGCACATAACCAATTAAATTATCTGTGGTGTCCGTGGGGGGGGGGGGGGGGGTCTCTTTCAAGCTGTCGTTTAATTATTCTTTGCATATAATTATGGCTTGACTTGGACTTCCTTTAACATTTAAATCTTTGTGGTCATAGATTCTTCCGTTGTATGGTGTACTTCTCCCAGCATCAACAAAGAAATAAAAATAAAAATTAAATTTTAAAGTAAAGCATAGTATGGTTATGTTTTGAAACCTGATTAAATTGTAGTTCAACCTGAAATTAGGCTACTATGTACTGCAATAACTTAAAATAAAAAGACACAACTTGGAACTCACTCAGCACACATTTTACACTTATATATATATATATATATTAATAATGACAACTTATATCTTTAAAGATGGTTTAATTTAAATAAATATTGTACATATCATATTCAACCACATTTTCCTTCTTCGGTCAGATCGTTTTATTAAAGTTTAATTATCAATCTTTTATTGTCTTGAAACATGGGATGTATTTTATCTTGCTGTTATGAAATTTAGAAAAACTGTGATGCAAAAATGATGATGTTAATGATTTACAGTATGTTAATGTAAAATCACGTTAAGTAGTAGTTCAGTGACTTATAACAATTATTTTATGTGTATTACCTAAAGCTTCACTCTCGGCTCTTTTCAACTAAAAGGACAGTTGTGTTTTCTGAAGCGCATTAGAAAATGGAGGGTCCAGATCAGAAATGCAGGTTTTAATGAGGATTTGGCTTCATGCACAGTGGTCCTGCATCAGTTTAACCCCTCCTCCACTCCTCAGCTGTCAGTCAATGCATCACCTCTGTTCATGCAATTAGCTGATGTCTGACAGACTGGATGTGGCTGCAGTTTCCTCGTCTAATTATGTTTTGTGGAGACAGATCCAGGATCCTTCAGTCAAGCTTGACTTTCTGACATATTACACATATTAGTGGACACCTATAAACAAACAAACTGACCTGCAGGGATGTTTCTGATAGTTGTTACAATCCCATTATTACTCAAATAAAAATGTTCTTTGATGTAATGATGTCAGTGAAGGGTTGGAAAAACTGCACTTTACCGTCACAGGATTTAGCCCCCGGTGAAAAGAACAAAGTTTGTACATTTCCAGGGAAGGAAGAAGAACTGATTGACTTCCTGACTCCAGTAAACAATACAAGTGGTTTCTGGTAGATCCAATTTATGATGTTCAATTTGTGCTTCTTCCTTAGTCAAAGTAATCAAAATACAGATTTTGCTCTACAAAGCATGAGAGTAAAGTCAGAGTACTCAGGGTGTAGTTGTCATCAAAGCAGCTGCTCCTTTTGAGTTGACCACACAGTCCCTTCACAAAATATTGTAACTCGCTCAGACTGTTAAAGTCTTCTCACAACAAAAACCATCAAACCAAGAATAGTCATAACTCCAGGCTTTGACCCAAAGTTAAATCCCACCAACCACTTCCCGGTCTCTTTTTGGGTTTCACATGAGTTCCTCTGAGACAATCTCAGCTCGCCTGCTCGTGCAGCACAAATGGTATTGAACACTTCACAAAACCTGTGAGAACTGCAGGACGGACAGAGTGCAAAGGTGATCTACACTGGGTCTACAGATGGATCAAATTATGTTTGTACTGTTAATGCACATTCTAAGTAGATATACAAAAGCTTTTTCTTTTTACAATTAAGTTGAAGTTTAATAGTGAGAAATCATAGAAAACACAACTTATAGGATACAAATCAAAAACAATATTAATATAAATATGAAAAAAATATATATATTTTTTAAACGTAAAGTTAACTGACCAGCTATGTTTAAAAGAAAATGTGCTACAAACAACTTTTAAATAATGAAATTCTCCATTTTAAGATTGAAAGAGATTGCATAAGTTTTATGATATCTTTGCACTAATTTATATGAAGCACTTGCATAAATGTACAGCCTAATGTATAATAAGACGGTTTTATTCCATCTGGGATTGAATTTATTTCTAATCACTTTGACGTCTGACATCAGATATTAACGAGTCACATGTCATACAGCCTGAGCACAACTGCAACACTGTGGCGTCACTTTTAACTATTTTATAATCAAGAAACAGAAGATGAACTCAATAACACTAACAATTTTGGATAAATGTCAAATATCACCAATTATAGGTCCAATATTTTAGACTATCACTGGATTCACAGAAGTACTGTTCACTGAATCATTTTTACTTTCTAAATATGAAACATTTATGCAAATAAAACAATAAAAGTAAAACAGACTGTTGCATAATGTGTCATTTGATGATCGTTAGACAGGTGGTGGTGGATGTTGACTTTTTACTGATGCAGGTGCAAGTTCTAGCCTTGCTAAGGAGAAAAGGTCAGAGAGCTGACGCACAGGAACTCACTCTGAGACCACACAATGTACAAGCACGATGGACCACACCACCTACGTCATCTCTTCCTGCAATTGTTTAATAGTTCAGCAGACGTATACAGCCGGCAGGAAAGGAGAAGCTGAGCCCTTTCTTTAAGCCAATCCATTGGCTTCTAGGCAGCTAACTTGCAAATGATGTCATGTGTTTAAAATAGTGCAAGCTGGTGAGAACAGACAGCATGCGCACTTGCATTTTCAAAAGTGACCAATGTTCATAGCGATGCTTTGAAAACACACAACACAAACCCAACTTTAAGATGATGCCATACTGTTTATAATTGAATCCTACATTTTACTAGCGATACTACAAAGGTGAAACACCTTGTTTTATCAATGCACAGTATGATGAATACATTTTGGCACTTAAAATGCAGTGTTATTAGAATAGCTTGTATCAACAGGTGCAACTCTTCTATAGCAGTCTAAACTCCATTTAAGTTCTTTTTTTTTTTTTTTTTACTATTTTTGCCTAATGCAGTTATAATTGTCATGGGCAAAATTAAAGAAAACATTATGAAACAGACAATAATGACAAACTATAGATAACATTTAATTTTTTTTAACACAGAAAGAAGAGCAAGAAAATACTGTTACACAAAGCAACATAAAACTAAAGTACTGCATTTTGTTGTGTATTTCTCACCTCACTTGTCCTTTCTGGACCCTTGCTATGACTTTGCAGGAAACGGCAACCATCCTTTGCCAGTCTCTGGACCACTTCTAGTCTGGACAGTTCCTCCTTGTCATGCATGATGCACTTGTTACCCTGCTGCAGAGCAGGGGGCACAGAGAACATGTACTTCAGTCCACAATCCCATGACATGGTCAGCTACTACCAACTTACTGCCTTCTTAATATATATATAAAAAAAAACTCTCACAGAAACTGTAAAATAAATCGTATGCACAACCAACACAGTTTTTGTATAAAGATATTCTGGGTATTTAAAAGTGTCTTCTGTCGCTCCTGTCAATGTAAATCCAAGTTTTTGTTAAGTTTGGCATCAGAAGGTTACATCTAAAACGGCCCCATCAGTTGAAGCTCAAGTATTCGTGTGGCTGCATGTACTCAAATGAATGAGTCCCCTTTTTGTACCTTTCACCAATAGGGCGGAGAGAGAGTTTGGAGCACCATGAGCTGAGGAAACATCTGGTGAGCTAGACAACCCTAAAAGGGAAGTTTCGAAATCTCCCGAAAGCAGGAGTCAGGATTCAGGATTGGGCAGGGTAACCAAAGGTCAAGCCTTTTCATAGGGCGGAGATGCATTGCCTGTGCATTAAATAGAAAGGAAAATAAAAGCCAAATTTCCTGCAAAATTAATACAAACTATTAAATAAACGTCACATTGTAGATTCTCTAGTAAAGGCAAACAAAACTCATAGCTCTCCTAAAGCATCACATCCATAGATTTGTTGCATTATGATAAATAGGTAGTGATCGAGAGACTAATCATGCAAGTAACCATGCTTGAACTCTATCAGTTCAAAAACCACCTTGATTTAAGAGCATAAACATATTTGTTTGATGAAGTAAAAAAAATAACAAAACAGACATAAAAGTTCCAACAATTTTCAGTCAGGTCATCTGGACAATTTCTTTTTTTTGTGCTGAAACGTTTCACCTTCCATCCAGAAGGTTTCGTCAGTCAAGGAAACGCACAACACAAAACTGATTCTTCCCCCAACAGCTTACTCCAAAGTGGAAAAATGTGTTATGTTGGTGCTAAGATGGTCTGTTTGTCATGTCCCCTCCTCCGGTGCTGGCCCTCTCCCTCGTCGACAATCATGTCAAATTGGTTCAAAACCAACAAAGTCCATGTTCAATAATCCAGGTATACAATCCAACAATTTTCAGTCAGGTCATCTGGACATTTTTTTTATAAATGTTAATAAA